CCCTGCGCCTCTGGGCCGCGCTGAGCTCTAGCCCCGCGCCGCGTCGCGCCCATGGCTCTCGACGAGGGCACCCCGTGCCGGCACGCGCTCCCGGATCGCCCGCCCGCGCTCGGATGTCCAGCGGCCGGCCCCGCTCCGCGCTACGCCCGGAGGCGCCGCATTGTTTCCTCGGAGGAGGCGGCCGAGCGCGGCTGGGGTGGCCCGGGAGCGGCCGCGGCGCTTCCTCGGCGCGCCGGCGCCACCTCGTGGCCGCGGCCCAGCTGTGCGCTCCCTACCGCCTCCCCAGGTGGTGCGGGGCCGGGCTCCGAACCCGCTCGATCCCGCCGGACTGGCGGGCTGCGGGTCCTGGCTCCTCCCCTTGAGCCATGGCACTTCCTAGAGCCCCACCAGCCCCGAGGACCCAGGGCTGCTTCGGTTTCTGCACCGCACCAGGGAAGTGGGCGGAGGAGAAGACCCCTTCCCTTCCTCTGGGTGCCAGGGAGTCCCTTGGGCCTCTATCTCTGCAGCCCCCACAGGATCCTTCACCAGCTGCTTCTTACTGGCTCCGACTTTGCTGGGCAATTCGCACATGTTCTGTCCCTCCCTGGTCAGAAAGTCCAGTGACTCCTCTTTGATCTGAGTGTAACGCCCTGTGATGCCCAGACCTGTCCACAGAGCCTGGGTGCTAACCTCAGACGTTGCATCAACCAAGGGGTAATCCCATGTGCAAGTCACCAAGAGTCTCCACTGTAAAATGGAAGTGACCAGAAGCTCAGTAAGGCTCCTTGCAACCCTGAGACGCGTAGGAGCCTGTGTAGTCTTTCAGCATCTAGGTTCCCTCCCCAGTGTTTTTAGCTTTGGAGATGTGTTTGCAGGTGCAAAGGTGAGCTAGAGACTTCTGGGAGTGCACAGAGCCAGCCTGAAGAAAGCTCTTGCCCGGATGCCAGACCTTGGCTGGAGCAGACATGGCCACCTCACACTGGGAAGCCTGCAAAGCTTTGGTAGAGTGTAAAATGACTCGCAGGGTCTTTGCCCAGCTTGTGCAGAGAGAAAGCCTTCATTCTCCTCCACTTGGCCCTGCTTTCACACCCAGTTCCTGTGCTCCTGCCCCACCCACCTCCAGCCCCTCTGCACCACTCACTAGGGGTGACTCACACTCCCTGCTTTTCCTGCACCTTCTTTATCAAAACTTACCTGTCCTGTGTTCCATTATCTCATTGCCTTGCTCTCTGCTAATGGGAAAATGGGTGATAAATCGTTGTTAGTGGATTAATGTCTTACTCCAGCTAGGTAACTGATTTGCATTGCATTGAACAAGGACATGCTGACTGTGGCTTTGTGCACAGGAGTGACGGATAGTGAGGGAAATCTGGCCAGCATGGCAGGCTATCTAGGGAGATGTTTGAGGGCAGTGGTTTCTCCAAGGCCTCTAAATCACACCTTATGCCTCGGTGCCTGCATCTGCCACAAAGTCAGGCAATCAATTAATCCCCAGATGTCAGGGCCAGAGCCACAGCTATGCTAAGAAATGAAACGGCCCTTCTGATTGTATCTCTCCCATGTGAGAGGTGTCGTTTATACCTGGTTGGCATTTTAGCTTGAAGGGGAAGCCTTCCCCCCTCCCCCAGCATGAGAGATGAGGTCTCCCCAGGAGGCGTGGCTATATCTGGTATAGGTCACCAGGGGAGGTGGCTACTCTTGGCCATAAGCCAAAAGATGAAAGAACTCCCTCTCCATCCCCTCTGGGCTTTGCTCTCTCTGATCTGGGCTTTGAGGTGGGAGCTCCCTTCTCCATGGACGGCAGCCTCGGGACCAGGCAGGGAGCTGTAGCCAAGGACAGTGAATGCTATTTTGTGAGCCACTTGGCCAGCTGCCTGTGCCTCTCGGAGTCCTTTTGGCTTTTGTTAGCCTCTTGTCTGCAGTAAACTTCAATATAAATGGTCTGCTTACTCTCCACTGTGCTGTAGACATTAGGAGAAAAAATTGTGAACCCCTATGTCATGCAACCTTGGGCACAATCTTTTCGTGCCTCAGTTTCCTCCATTATAAACTGGACTTATTTATAGCCTGCCTCACAGGGTTGAAATGAGAGTCGAGCCTCTGCCTGCAGTCAGGAGCCTATTGCCTGACACCTGATAAGCTCTCTGACTTCTTTGTTCTTGGCTACCTGTGGAGATGCTGCTGGTGCGTGCCCCATTCCCTCTGCCTTCACCTGTACGTGTTACAGGGTGGATGACTGAGAACAACCTCAACTCTCTGCCTGGGACTTTTATTTATGGCTGTGGGAATGTGCTAGAACAGGAAGGGCAAGGCAGAAGTGTCCTGGACAGAGGATCAGTGCTCTGGAAGCAAAGGACAAATACCTGCACCCCCTCTCCCAGGACACTCTGAGGCATGGTCCCCACCAGCTCCCGGAGCTCCCAGCAAGACTGAGCTCCAGTTGCCTGTGGTGGCAACTGGTTCTGTGAACATACCCAGGTTGGTGCCCTTCTCTCCCCTGCCTCATTCCCACTCCTCTGTCAGGATTCCTGGGATCACCTTCCAAATAGAATCCTTGTCTTGGAATCTACTTCTGAGGAAGCCAGACAGATCCTACCCTATAGACGGCAGCTCTCAGCCCTGGTCCACAGCACACTTACCTGGGGAACGCAGCAAAACACAGCCCTCATTCTGATTCAGTACTGAGCTGGGGCCTGAGCACACTGCTTTATTAATGCCACAGGTTGCACCAACGTAACAGGCCAAGTGGGGAACCACTAGGCTGATATTCACTGCCTTCAGAGGAGGACGGAGAGTCTCTGTAGCAAGCCAGGGAGAATGGGGGGAGGGGACTGGAGGGCACCCTGCCAACGACTGACATCAAGTTACCTGACTCCAAACCCCTCCCCTCTTCTGGCTTCTCTTTTGAGGCTGTCAACAGAATGACACAGGACTGGGGGTGCAGCCTCAGGATTGATCTTGTAGGTCCTGCTGGCCTTGCTGGAAGCATCCAGAAGCCCAGAGTAGCAAGAGGCCTTTCTGTCCAAAAAGGCAGAGAAGGACCCCTGGGAGGGGTTTGGGGTACAGTGGGGACGCTGCTATTCGGAGGGTCTCAGACTCAAGATGCCTAGCAGGTGAGCCAGAGAAACAAGGGTAGGGGGTTACAGTCATCACCTAGGCTGACCTGCCAGACTGACTTCTTCTCTCACATCTCTGAAGGCCAGAGTCGGAAACCGAGTTGTCCACAGGGCCAGTTCCTGAGAGAAGACTACCCAGGCCTCTGCCCTGGCCCAGGCCACCCATGCTGCCCCTTGGTTTGTAGGCTTTTCTCTCCAGTCCCTTCCTCTGTCTTCACCTGCCCCTCTCCATGTGTGTCACTGTGTCCCCAAATTTCCCTCTTCTTATGAGGACACTAGTCATTGCATTTAGGCCCCAGCCTAATCCAGTATGACCTCGTCTTAACTAATTACATCCACAAAGCTGCTATTTCCAAATAAGGTCACAGTGTGAGGTTCTGGGAGGACGTGGATGGAGGGGTGGGGGGACGTTATTCAACCCCCTATCGGGACCTAGTAGAAGGAGCTGGAGTAGAGACTGTTGAGAGCTGTCCCCTAAAGAGGACACACCACCATGGCATTGTGCAACTGTGGGCCCAATTATTTCAAAAGAAGCCAGAAATCTGGGCTTCTCATGTGAAGTCATATAATTTTAAATTGAGGCTCACAGAGTCTCATTTTATTGCCCTGAGTAGAGTGCCACAATGTCATAGCTCACAGCAACCTCAGACTCCTGGGCTCAAGCAATCCTCCTGCCTCAGCCTCCCGAGTAGCTGGGACTATAGGCACCTACCACTACTGCTCAGCTATTTTTAGAGACAGGGTCTTGCTCTTGATCCATCCCCTGGGCCTCCCAAAGTGCTAGGATTGCAGGCATGAGCCACCCTGCCCAAGAGGCTCAGTATTTTTAGACCAGTGCTATCTGGGCATCCTGCAAGGTCAGCTTCCCTAAAGCCAACCCCACCCCCACCACCCATCACCCTCTACCCTCAGGCCAACACACAGAGGTCTCCCTGGAGGAGGGGTTGGTAGTGGGGAAGGTCAACATTCCAGGCCCACTCTGGAAGGGGGGCTGCTCCCTGGGGATCTTGTGGCCGGTATGGCCCCCCTGGATCCTCCCTGGGGATCAGAGCCCCGACTGCTGCTCCCACCTTCTCAAAGCTTCAAGGTGCCTCCAGATCTGACAAAGGGGCCCAGGGTGGGAAGAGAAAAGAAAGAAACAAGCAGTTTACCGTGTTTGAAATCCCCATTTAATGTGCTCCGGCTGCAGCAGCAGACAGCACATTACGAGGCAATAGGCCATTGTCCTTTGCTGGAGTGCAAAGCATTAATAATGTCATAACAGCATTTACTGACACTGTGCCCACATCCTAACAGCCCAGCCGCGTGGGAACCGGTGGCACTGGACTCCAGCCGCCTGGAGCCCTGGAGGCTGCGAAGGGGGAGGAGCTACTTCTCCCTTGCATATTCCATGCTGTCTATTTCACAGCATTCAGGCTAATCCTCCTATTGAAAAGCAGCGTCTGGAGTTTATTTTTATTGATGTCAGAAGGCCATTCTTTAGCACAGCTTGTGGGAGCCTGAAGCAGAGCTGCTGTGCCCTCCTATTCTCCTGTGAAGGGAGTGGGATGGGGGGGGCCAGGGGAGCAGGGGACTGGCCAGACAGGCAGCCTCCCACATGGACCCCACCTCGGTGCTGGAAACACAGGGGGACGCTTTATGGTGATCGTGAGACTCCATTTACTGTGCGCCGACCACCTGCCAAACGTCACTGTGTCTACAGAACTATTTTATTACATTTGCTTTTGTGGGGGCAAGTTTTTTTTAATGACCCCCCTTTTTTCTAGGCAGTTTC